TTGAAGGGGAAGGGGGAGGGGGTACGGGGAGGGCATGTGAGGTTTGGGAGTGGTGTGAGGAGGTTACGAGGCCGTTTTGGGGGGTTGAATGAGTTGTTGATTTGGAATAGTGAGGTCGGTTGATTGGGGCTCTCTTTGAGGGTTATAAAGAGTGTGAGAGTGGAAAACTATAAGTCGGTCTGGCAATTTGATTACTCGCTTGTATTTTAGTTTCCTCGTTCTCTTTGTGGCTGATAACACGATAGTGTCTGTTTCGATGAGGACTGGAGGCATGTATGGGCGTAAAACTTGCATGAATGGTAATCGGAAGAGTTTGACAGAATTGCAGCAAAATTGCAGCAGGCCCTTCTTTCGCGAGTATACGCATATAGTTAGTTCCCCCTCGAGGAACCAACTACAAACAACCCTTTGATTATACTGGTCCCATATTACAAGACACCGAAGGGTAATCTTACCAGACCTATCCAGTCCCATCAGAAAACCCCTCCATCAGAAAACCCCTCCCTTCCTCCTCAACCCCAAAATATCCCCCAACCTCACAACCCCCTTGCCGCCCCAGCCCGCAACCCCATCCTGAACATCCGGCCTCACAGCAACATACCACCCCCAAGCCCTGCGATCCAACTCCTCCTTCCCAATATAAGGACTCCAACTCCTAAACAGCATATCCAACGCACCAAGCAGCATCCCCAGATTCCTCTCATTCTCTTCTTGCACCTGACTTGCAGTTTTCTTCTTCTTCTTTTGTTTTCCTTGTTCGGATACATCATCAGGCGGCGTAAGGAAACTCTTCAGAAGATACGACCGCGCGCCCTCTGGTCGATGGACGGGTAACTCTCCACCAGTAGATTTCCCCATCCCCTCTAGATCAAGACCCCAAAGTGCATCTTTCCCCAAAACACCAGAGACGCGCAGACGCTGGGAGAGAGCATCACGGGAGACGTCCGTCATGATCCTCCAACGGTCGGTACCCAGCATGATCCCGCCATACCAGCGGGATACCACGAGGAGGACGTTAGTTAGATTCGAAGAATTGAGGATGGATAGGAGATGGTTTCCTCCGCATGTTTCGCCGTCGTCGGAGCAGGATTCGAGGATGGAACCGTTGGAGGTGATGATGCGGTAGGCTGAGATGTTGTGGGAGGCTGAGGAGACGGAGGGGTTTGAGAGGAGGGTTGTGAGGGATTGGGTGGCTGCTTGGGTTGATGTTACTGGGATGGAGCGGGCGATGAAGGTTGATTTCTTGGATGTAATTGGACTGGAGACTGTCCATCCCGAGTTTGAGGGTTGTAAATCTGGTTCATTTTTTATCGTTGACGCTGAAGTTGTCTCATTTTCTCCACCAGCATCTGTATCCCCGCTCGAAATCTTTGATTCTCCCACCTCCTCCTCTTCTTTCACCTCTCCCTCCCCCTCCCCCTCATCCTCCTGCCGCACATACCCACTCCTCTTCAACACCTTAACCTCCCTCCCCAAAACCCTCACTCCCGGCTGTCCACTCCCCCACCCCTGCCCTTCCTCCTCCCTCTTCAACCCAAGACTAACCGCCTTCCCGCGACTATTCCCACTAACCACCGCCTGCGCAAGACTCAACCTCGCACTAAGCGGCTGCTCCGGCATAGTAAACCCCAACAACTGCACCGCAAACGCCAGAACCAGGGGGGCCCGATTCGTATACACCCTACAGCGTTCAATCGCCTCCTCATCTGCTTCAGGAACCGGAAGAGCTAAGGACTTCTCAAACTCCCTTGGCGACTTCGGTACCTCTTGGAGAGAAAACTGGCTCTTCACTCTCTTCGTTGAGGAGTCTAATGTATCGGTAGCAGACCGTTTAGTGCGTAAGCCTACCGAATCTGGATTCTTGACCGCGGATTTACAAGCGGCAAGGAGAGACTTCGCCGCCTTCTCATCTGAAATAGCCGTCGTGATATCCGCCAGGTTCGAGGACACGATATCCGCAATCCTGCATTCAATTAGCTAGCTATCCGAGTTTGTTGATGGGGAGCTCTCACGTCCCGAGACCAGCGGCTTGGAGAGCTTTGACGCGTCCCATGGCGGCCATCATGGGGATTTTATTGCGGCCGGTTGTAAACAGGTGGAGGAGGTCTTGTACATCTTTTACAGATGCCATGGTTGCCGTTTGGCGTTGCGGTTTGGAGTTGGCTGTTGAGTTTGATGGGGAGGATGGGAGGTAGAGGTTAAGCCTCGTCCTATGACGCGCTCAGCCCTACAGGATCCCGGGCTTCACCCAGAAGCGAGACGCGGGGTAACCCCTTTTTAGGACTCGGGGGCGGCAGTTGGACGTCAGTCATCAGAGCGCCAGATCAAGGTGACAGTGAAGGCAAAAAAACAAATTCAATCTACTCAGTACCAATACATCAGAACTTCCATCTCACGAAAAATCCTCACATCACAGCAATTACAATAAACAGAAAATCTAGATTTCAAATAAGTTACAAAAAACTAGTTGAACTAAAAAAAGAAGAAGAGCCTAACTCAAAAAAGAAAGAGAGAAAAAAAACAACTTTTATAATTGAACAGTCTGCTCCCTATGTCAAATCAAGTTACGTGATTTCTACTCTACATGTTCTTCCTCCTTAGCTTTCAGCGTCGCCGTCGACCCCGTCATATCTTCGTCCTCGATTACCTCCGGCGCTGATACAGTCTTTGCTGCAGCAGGACAGTCATCCTTCTCAGGAGCGCTCTCTGTTTGTACTTCAGTTGCCTTTTCAGCAATCTCTGGTACCTCCACGGCGGCGGCCTTCTCAGCGGTGTTAGTAGCAGGTTTTGGGGTTTCTAAAGAAGCGGCCTTTATTGGCGCAACAGGTTCTACATGCTCTTTCTCCGTACCCACTTGCAACGTATTCTCTTTAGGATCAATCTCCCAGAGCGTCGATGGTATCGAGAACCCAAGAACAGGTGCAGTTTGCTGAGCTGAGCCAGAAGCAGAAGCAATTGCAGTAGCAGGAGCCGGGCTCTTTGCTGGAGCTCTTCGTGCCGGACCTCTTGCTCTACCCTTTCTGGCATCGGCTAATGGAACTTTCTCCTTTTCGACCACTGCTTCTTCGGGCACGACCTCCTCTTTCTTAGGCGCCTGTGGCCCCAGTTGAAGACGTTTATTTAAATCAGACATGAAACCACCTTTTAATGCAGCAATCTTACCACCGACAGGTCTGGATGGAACTGGGGGTTTGGACTTTGCAACGGCGCCCTGATCCGATCCAATCGATTTCGTCGAAGAATTTGATGTTACTTTAGTCAATGGAGCATGTTCAGACGATTCGCGAGTACTTGATCTGGAAGGTCGAGCTGGAATCACGGGCTTTGTCTTTGTCGGAACTGGGGGGTTCGAATCTGAAAACTTTCGTGGTCGTTCTGGAATCGAAGGTGGTTGTTTATCGACAGGAGACGACTCTGACAACTTGGTCTTTGGACGAGCAGGAATTGACGGCTTCATGAGAGCGGCAACCCCTGTGGTTGCACGACCTTCTTCGCTTCCCAATTCAAGACCCGCGGCAGCCTTTTCTTGGTGGTATACAACAGCACCCGTTGTGGGGCGTTCCTCAGGTACGCTTGGGGCTTCACTTTCTGTTTGAGGTCCACCAACGGTAGTTTGTAGCTGTAAACTGTCAGGTGTATCTTCCCAAATATCACGACTTGGGAAGCGTTGTTTTAATTCAGGTCGGGTCTCAGAGATAACATGTGATCTGTTTCCCCATGGCTTTTTCTCCTTATGTAAAAAGCTCTCCCGATCTTGCGACTCTTTCTCGGCCAATTCTTCTTGTCTTCTTGCAAAAGCCCTTTCTGGTGTCTCATCCGTAGGAGCCTCCTTGGTTTTTTCTTTTTCTGGAGCATCCTCATCTGGCAATTGAGGTGATGAGACTATTGCAGTGTATTGTAAACTATGTGGCGTGTCTTCCCAAATGTCTTGGCTGGGGAACTTGCGATTCTTCAGCTCAGGACGCTTCAATTTGTCTGCTGCGGTCAATGGTTTGTCCTTGTTTTTATCATCTTCGGGGAAGAGTGGCTCATATTCCTCCAAATCTTCCAATTTGGTTGAGCTCGAGTGCACATGAAGACCTGGAACATTGCCGTGAATGCTTGTTGGTCTACTGTTAGTCAAGCTCGTCTGACTACTTGATTTGTGCTGATAGAAACCACCTTCCTCGTGGTACATCTGCTTACGCTCATGCATTGGTGAAACTGCTGGTTGTGTTTCATAGCCAAATGGATCCTTTGCAAGCTCGTCGGAAGCCAAGATAGGAGCAGAGTAGTGAGGCTCGGCTTCCTCGTATCCATTGCCTGAGGCAGGTCCAAAATCCTCTACAGAACCGAGGTTGCTGTGCCCGTAGACTCTACTGCTAGTGCGTGCTAGATCCACGTGAATGACATCATCGCTCTCGTTTTCACTCCCAAGAGTCAGATCAGAGGGTGCATGTTGACTCCTACCCAGGCTGGATTCATCAGGATGAATTTCCTTCCCTAAGGATGAATCGACATGGGTTTGAGACGAGTTTGAATGTGCAACATTCAGTCCTGTTGGTGAGATCTTGGGAGATGAGATGCGAGAGCGAGATGCGTATTCTTCGGTGGCTTGAATTCCGACTTGCTCAGTTGGTGTACCCACGAAGGCTGGAGAGTTTCCTAGATTATATTAGATTACTCGGCGTTTATGTGCAAATAATTGCACAACCATGTATGTTCCTTACCAAGTCCAGTTCCCCTACTGGCTGTATCCCTTACAATCCTGTTCAAATCCTCACTACTCATGGCCCACTCTGGCCTACCCTCTCCATATTGGCCAAGCTCTTTCTTGAAAAGTTCTGGATGCTTCTCGTAATATGCCTTCTCGAAACGATCATGGTGATGGGGAAGTATCTGGTGGCCATGTCTACCGTATGCCTCAAGAGGAACTTCGGGGTTTCCACTCAGTTTGCGCGAGTGATTTCGAGGTTTCGACCCATCGTTGTGAAAGCCAATTCCGGGGGCATGTGGCTGGGGGAATGGGGATGGAGATGGAGCCTGGACATCGCCAGCGTTGGGATACATGGGCACTCGCTGACCGATTTCAGGAATACCCTGTTCGTTGTCGAGACTCGATGGGGGACGCTGTGTGCCATTTGTTTCGGAATCATTTTGGCTGACAATACTTGACTTTGCCTTCAATGAGTGTCCCGCGGGATCCTTATCATCTGCCGCAACCTTTCCAATGCCAAAAGACGCAGCTTGATTGGAATCTGTACGGGTAACGGTTGAGACTCTTTGCTTGGCACTTGAAGCTGGTAACGAGGGCTTAGGAGCATGAAGCTGGAGATCATTGGCCACATTGCGAGTTTGTGTATTCGATGCATCAGGTTTCTCAGGAACAGCAAAGACTTCGGCATATTCGTTTCCTTCTTGTCCAAGAGAAGGGAGCACTACACTTGGAGGACGCTGTGATTGCTCGGTATTGAGACCTTCGCCATGACCATTGCTACCCAAAGATGACTTGGATTTATGAGCCTGCGAAGGTGCTTCATTTAACGGTGATCGAGCAAAGCTCTCGCGAGAGGGTGAGATGGAGCGTTCAATACGACGGCCCGCTGGACGAGGGGGAATGAGAGGCATCTCGGTACGCAGAGGAGCTGATGCTGCAGGAGTTTCTTTTTGTGCCCGCGTAGGACGGGGCGGGACTTGAGGAACTGAGGTCGACATCTTGTAGGAGAGGTTTTGGGAGGGATCGAATGGATAGGTACAGGAGCTTGGCTTAGTGTCTGTCTTGCGGTCAGCAAAGTACTCGTCTACTCGATCCCTCGCAGCTCGCCCAAGCCAAAGGGGCTCAGCGAGTCACGCACACGCAACAACTGGCATCTGCTATAAATGGCTCTGGGATCATCATGAAGCCCTCCGGTATTTCCCCAGGGGTTCATGCAGGTGTCGTCCACCACGCAGCAGGCTGACCAGCAGTGCTGGCTATGCCAATGCCTCCCGCTGCAAGCGTAGCGTCTAGGTCGCCGGCGTGCCAGGGCATTGGTGATACCAGACCGCTTCAACCTTTGGAGATCACAAAGACGTCGACGCAGGGCTCGGCAAAAAGCCAATTCATGAAGAGACGAGGGGTTGAATAGAGGAGGGGATGACTTACTCGATGGGGATGTCAAAAGATAGTTGTTAAAGATCAACCATTGGAACTATGGTGGGTGTTTGATTGGGAGTTGGTATGTGTGCGAGTCTTGTCTGTCGGTTCTTGCAAGTAGTTGAGTAGTTGGGTCAATAGTGTACGGTGACGGTGTAGTAGTGGCTGTGAGGTGATGGTCGATGGTGTTATTCGACGCTAAAATAACAAGGACCTGGATCATTCCGTCATATCTTACGGTCGCCCACATTCACCAGTTCCGCAGCTACACAGTGACAGTTACGGGCAGTGGCAGTGGCACTTGATCCAATACTACGCTGCCCATGCTCTCCTCTACTCCAAACATCTATCACCACATCTTCGTTTCACGCATTCCGGATACTCGACACACGTTTTCTCTGAGTAATATGCATCCATCCATCCATCCATTCATCCACGCCATCAACAGCTCTCATGTCTTGGTGGCTCCTCTCTGCTGCATCAACAGCTTCACTGGCAACGCAAACTTCACATCCGATGGGTCAACCCTACCCACATCATGGAAGGGCTTTGAAAATGGCTCAATTTGATAGGGCACGATTGCATGGCCAGCCAACGCCTTACGCCCACCAGGAAATCCATAGCTGGGGCGGTCAGTTTGACAGGGGGCCCTTTTAACACGAAGCCCGTCTCAAGCTCCACCACGAGCTCTGGAACATCCATATCACGATGGGATTAATGCCATCAGAAATTGAGGCGAGGCGAGACGAGGCCAAAAAAAGCTTTGAGGCATTTTCTCTTCTACTCCAAAGTATCAATTTCTTGCTCAACTTAACTTTCCCAACCACCATCAACTCCACAAATTCTCTTCCAGCCAGACTCAAGGCCTTTCCGCTCTTCCGTCCAGTATCACCATCAGTGAAGGTCCACAGGGACAATTGAACCTGCAGTAGCCGCGACTTAAACCTACGACCTATCGCGATACTCCATTCTCCCCGCGCCCAAAATTGGAGGTCATGAGTTTACCACGTCTTCCAATCATGTGCACCGAATCCACCTGCTCCGAGAGTCAAGTTGCACAGATGTGTGGTGACGTTCTATTGACCGGAATTATATCATTTGATTTCATATAACAAGTTCTTCCTATTTGGTAGGTGCTTGAAGTGCTAATTCTACGCGGCACTTTTTTTAGTTTTGGTGAGGTTTGGGCTTGGTGGGGTCATTATTGCTATGTCGTTATTATGACGTGCAGCCGCCTTGACTTCTGTGACATCTTTTCCCAGTTCTATTCACAATATCTTTAGGTACCAACCAGTAAAGTACCAATACAGTACAGTGCCTTCAAGCTGCGCGCTGGAAAATCAACAATTCTCACGTGTCTAGGAACCCAGTTCTGATATCCCAAAAATCAATTCACATAATCCGGTCTTCTGGTTGGGGTTCCTCACCCAAACATCGCCTCTCGAAGAACCGTGGGCATGAGTTAAATACTCTACCACTTCATCTGAACCGTTCACGGTTTCTAGAGATAAACTAGAACCCCCAAACAAACCTAATAGTAAACTCATCTCATTCTACTACACTATATCATCTACGGCCTCACGGTACTTCCAGTACTACCTTTCATCATTGTACATCAAGCCGTCGTATCAAGAAGAATCTATATATAGAACTATACTGTAATATTCATCGGTGGCGAGGCGAGGCGAAAGGGAAAAGTGTGTTCTGCCATCATTTTTTGACTATTATCGTTTTATATATATATATATACTTCCGGGAGTACAAATAAATGGACCCATACTCTCACAGGGAGCTATATACCCCCACGGGGCAGATGAATAAGGAGATTCTCCGTAGGGTTTCATGGCTTCAGCCAGAGGATCTAGCATTCGTGATCGCAGAGGCGAAAAATGGCTATGGTGGCTATGATTACAGGAACAGAGACAATACAGTTCACGGGAACGATGATAGGTATAGTATAGAAACCACACAGAGCTTTAACCCATCAAACATTCATCTGAATATTTCCTCCTCTACAATAGCGTGGAATCGTCAATGGTTTCAGAATCGACGGTAAATAATCCATTTAATTAAGAGTTAGTATAACAGCTGTGAGCTAAGTCATTCTATCCTACTATCTCTATATTAACTAATCTAATCTCCACCTTGGCGTCGAGATCCTAGGTAGTAAGCAATCTTTCCCTTTTCCATCGACAGCGTATCATGGCTCGTCAACTTGTGAAACAAAGTCTCTGGCGTGATCGGCGGTTGAGGAAGGAATTGAAGACCCTGTATGGGAGAGGGATTTATAGAGGATGTGTAGATGGGGGAAGAGGTTGTTGTGGGGCTGTTGTGGATGGTGTGTATGAGAAAGAAGAATGAATGGGGGTTTTGTTTGGTGGAGAGGCTGGATTGTTGGGAGGTATGGGGGTTTTTAGGGTATGTTTTGGGGGATGTTTTGAGGTGAGATTGTAGTTGTTGGAAATGGGGCTTGCGCGGAGGTAGTGTGACGACCCTTTTCTAATTTTGTTATTGTGTTCCTGTACTTGTTCCTTACATCGATATATCTTCCTTAATAATCTTTCTCTTCTCTTATAATCAAGGGAGAGAAGTAACTCCTTATACCCGGTAGGATCCTATTCATATTTCAGTAGTTAGATGGCAGGTTCTACCTTTACTTTACTAGAATCACAACAGCAGTTCTCAATACATAGCGCAATACTATATAAGCCCTCGATCCATTCATTCGGGCGTACAAAATAGTAGTCTCTCGACTTCTTGACTTTCTCTCCACCATACCTGAGCAATATAAAAAGTTTAAAGACGTAGTATTTCATTTCTTTATTTATATTTATATACATCTAACTTATACCGCTTCTAGGTTAAGGAGCGCTTTTATTGAATGGCGGATGAGGTTTCATCTGAATGTTTTTTATTGATAGTAAGTTTGAAAACGATAGCAAGATTTCAATAACAGTAGATACTGCGGCGAAGTGAAGTGAAGATCGAAAGTTTTGTATGTACCAGGAGTTGATTCATATTTTGCATTAACTCGAGTGCCTCTTTTTGTGTTCGACCGAGGTTAGGATGGGTAGCACAAGGGACTTTTTACCGCTCAGTGATTCTCTGGTTCCTGGTGGTGTATTTTCTTTGACGCTTATTCTGGAACGAATGATTGTTTATATAATACTAGGAATAGAGGATTTTACGCTTCATATTTTCGGGGTTGTCTTACTTATTTCTATACGTCTTTGTGGTTTTCATGATGTTTGTATCTGATGGCGGACTATTACGCTTGATAGATATAGAGCATCGTAGCTGGAATTGCTAACAATACTGAGGACATTGAATACGTTCTAGAATTATTCGAAGACTTATATTACTTAAAGTACAGAAGCCGCAAATATTTCAATATCTAGATTTTATCTTTCCACTATTCCTATCTACTTATCAGGGACCACTGGAGACTCAGGCAAAGGATGTTGCAGAGCAAAGTTTTTACAGCTCGTGTAGTATGTCCCTGTGCCTGAAAACTCTGAACACTTACCACTACCTATACCGTCCGAGGATACTAAAACAGTGGCTCTATTCAGCACACTTTGGAGTCCTTCAGCCCTCTCCATCTAACTCTCCCTCTCCCTTCTCAATATTCACTCGAAGCTCACTCTTATCCAAACATCCCTGGCATAACAGCAAAGCTTAGCTTGACAGTAGACAGTAAAATGACGGTAGATCTAGCCTTGGAACTCTAATGAAGGAAGTAAGCAGATTCCACGCGGGGATCAATCTACAGTAGTGCTGTAGGCTCATGCAGGCCCCTACTCTGGGGTTGTGTGCTATTGTTTGTAGTGACTCGGGAGCACAAACTGTCGCCCCGGTAGCCTGGCCTTCCATCATGTCCAATTGTATTCATCCTGTCAAAAGCCATGGACTTCAATTCCGATAATTTATAAACGATGAATCGAAGTCACATGGTTTTCATATATCTTAGAACTAGAAATACAGTAACATTATATCAAATCTTACCTCGTCTTTCACTACCCAACTGTGACTTTGGACAACAGTCCTTTGATCTCTGGATATATCTTTCTAAAAAGCTGGACCAGTATTCCTTCACTCTTCTTGAGAGCAGAACATGATAATACGACCAATGAGAAGAGCGAGTTTCGGTTCTTTATTCAGAACGGAGAGGTTAGAATGATCAGAATGGCGTTGTCGCAATGATCAAGCGTTGCCCAGATGCCGGGGCTTCACCTATAGTTTGACATACTTACTCTAGTACTCAATCTCTAAACTCAACATCAAACATTGCCTTTCACGAACGCAAATGCTACAGCGACAGCAAGTATCAGAATGACAGCAGTCTTAAAATCAGGAGTTTGTTTAAGAAAGCATAGTGCTGGTCAGTATTATCGCCTATTTACGGTGTTCAGCCCACCGCTCTTGGGTCATGTTCTGGGGTTCGTAGTGACAGAGTAAGAGGGTCATTCGGATTATACAGGACCGATAGATTTGAGTGGCCGCGGTTACGAGTGCTGCCGTATTGCGATTCCGAGAAGCTTGCATATATAGATTGAGTAGGTAGTGGAATTGTGGAAATGTGTGTAGAAAAACGTGATTTCGACTCTTGGGCTTCTCCTCCAGTCTCCTGTTTGTCTGGTTTCTCATGCTCTGTCTCGTCATTTCCATCATATTTCTCTATCTCGACCTCGTACTCCGTACACCTGTTGTCTCTTCGCCTTCCTTATCACTACATCTGGTAGAACGCGTTCTCATTCTCTGGTGCGGTTAGCGCAGTGGCAATCACCATTACACATTACAGGTCCATAATCGAAGAATCTCTGTGTGGATGGGTAATCCAATAGTATGTTATTTGTAGCATTAGAGGTTGGACTCTCTTCCTTGGCTCACCCAAA